TAATGGCCATTACTCTTTCAGTTGGAAATCGGTGCATGTTGCTGATCTCTACTTCCAGAGAGAACTATCTACTGTATTTGTAAAACTTCTCCTGTTTCTATTTGACGTATATTCAATGCAAAATATGGTGTGGAGGTGGATGGAAAGTTCATCTTTATTTATTATGCTTTTGTTTAATAATTCGTCCTTGATAGAGTGCAAAACTCTCCTAAATGGAATTAGGAGACTTGGCCATGTTTGGTTTGTATTTGTGAATAATTTTGAAAAATAATTTTCTGGAAAGAGTTTACAAAATTTGAAAATTTGTTTGATTGTATGTTTTAAAAATAGTTTTGGAGTTTGGGATGATTTATTTATTATAGTTGAATATAGATGGGTGTAAGAGAAAAAGTGATTGATTGATGTGTAGGATGTGAGAGAGAGGAGAGAGGAGAGAGAAAAAGTAATTGATTGATGTGTAGTAGAGAAAAAGTGATTTTGATTTTTTTTTTTTTTTCAAAAATTTTCAACCAAACAAATTTGTGAAATTTTTTTCTCAAGAGACAAACGAAACAAGGCTAATACTTCTTTTGTTTCTTGGATTCAATAATTTTGAAGTGTTGGGTTTTAAGGCCAACCCACCTGAACTATTAAAAATCAAATACACAATAATAAACACAAGATTTACGTAGTTCGGTCTCAATGCCTACATCCACGGAGAGAACCAGAGATTCCACTAAAACAAATAGAGATTACAACAGGGGAAACTTTCTCACTCAACTCACACACTCTCTACTAGCTTACACTCTCTGGTTTTCCTCTCTCACTCTCACATAGATATATGCTCGCTTGTATATCACTTACGTTCTTTTCCTCTCTTGTTATTTGCCTCTTGCAAGTTAACTCAATATATAGAGAGAGTTGGAGACAACAACCCATACCTCTCCCCATGTGAAGGTATGACTTGCCACCTCCCTACGACGGCTTGTCTTCCTAGCTCCTCTCTCACCATTGTCAACAATCGATGGCTTCTATACATTCGTGCCAACCTATGAAGCACGGACACCTCTCCGAGGCCTCCGTACCAGTGTCGGACACGTATCGGACACGGACACGCGTTGGACACGTGGTGGACACGTGTCCGACACGCAGCTAAGAGTGTTTAAATTTTTTTAAATTTTTTTTGCAACCGGACACGTTCCAGACACGTTCAGACACCTTTGGGGACACGTTCAAGGTCAATTTCACAGTTTATGGAACTTCTGTGGGTCAATTTGTAAAAAAATAAATACAAAACAATATGTGCCCTAAATGGAGGTAAAACAGAGCAGAAAGAGAGAGAAGAGAACAGAAGAATAGAAGAGAAAGAGATAGCAAACCTGATCGTTCGTCATCGTCACTCGTCAGCTATTATCTAAGGTACACATTCGCTTCTTCTTCTTCTTCGTTCTTCGATCTTCGACTTTGATCTTCTTCTTCTCCGATGCTGTCTCTCTCTCTCGCAATCACTCACTCTCTCTCTCTCTCTCTCTCGCAATGGTTGTCTCTCTCTCTCTCTCTCGCAGCCACTCTCTCTCTCTCTCGTTCTCTGATCTTCTTCAATCTATTTTTTTTTCTTTTTTTCTTTTTCTTTTTCTTTTATATGGTCAGTGAGTGGGAGTCTCTCTCTCTTCTATTTTTTTTTCTAATTTCATTTTATATTTTCTTTTCTCTATGTGCCTCCATTATAATTTTTTTTTTTGTGATAAGTAAAAAAAAATGCCTTTGTTATAATCTTAATAGTATTATTTTGTATTTTTTATTATCTTTGAATAATTTTTTTTTATAATTTTATGACATATAATAAATAAAATTAATTATATATATTAAACGTGTCTCAAGCGTGTCGTGTCTCTTATTTTTTGAAAATTTGCGTGTCCACGTGTCCGTGTCGTATCACATGTCCGTGTCCGTGCTTCATAGGTGCCAACCAATATCAACAATGGTAGCTTACCTCTATCCACATGGGTGAACTCAACAAATCACCCCCTTCATCCATGTAGGGTGATTCATAGAGCACCCCCTAATTGGATGCCCTCACCCCCTACCTAGAGTGCCCTGCACCCCCTCATTGGGGTGCCATGCAAAGCTTACTTTGCAACCCGTTGTGATTGCATCTCTCCTTTCCATGCACTCTTGGAGAGATCGCAATATGTCTCTAATTCAGGAGCAAAAGAAATTCTTTTCTTCATTGGGACGTGCTCTACCGTCTTGGTCTCTTTGCTCTGAGCTTTCTTCAGAATTGGCTGCAATGGCTCTGTTTTGTGTACCTTCAAATTGCCTCTATGCGTTCCTGTACACTTTGAATGCCATGTTTGTTGAGCCCCATGTCTTTTTGGCGCGTGTCTTGTACTTCTTGCCGGTGAGTAACAGCAACTCCTCTTGTTACGACCTTCTTTACAAGTCTGTACAAATTCTCCTCTAGTCATCCATGGAGCATCACCGTATCTCCATGGATAGCTTTGAGATTTCCATTACTAGATAAGAAGCTGTAACCCTTCAAATCTAGCATACTTAGGGAAATTAGATTCTTTCTAAATCTTGGCACATGTTGGACTCCATCCAACGTAAAAATTGTTGCATCTCCCATTTGGAGCTGCACTGTTCCCATGCCAACAATCTTACTCACAGTGTTGTTAGCCACCCAAACAATGCCTTTGTCCTTCGCTTGGTAGGTGGAAAAAAGTCTCCTGTTCATACATATATGGTATGTACTTCCAGAATCTAAAATCCAGTTAGGTTTCCTCATACTCGACAAAACTGTAAATGCATACTCATCCTTAGCATTCACTGCAGCTACGACATTTGATGAGCTTGCCTATTCTTTACTTGCCTTATCCTCTTTGAGCTTTGTACAATTTTTAATGAGGTGATCCTCTTGATCACAATAGTAGCACTTTCTTCTGTAGTCTGGCCTTGATTGTGAACGCCCCCTTGATTTGGATCTACTCTGCCTATCATTGGACCTGCCTCTGCCCCGATCATCTTTTGATGCAACTAGGGCATTTCCCTCTGGGTGCTTGCCGCTTTCCTTTTTCTTCATCACCTCATGAGAACTAAGCGTAGCAACCACCTCATTTAGTCCAAGAGTATCCTTCCCGTACATAAGAGTAGTCCTGAGATACTGATATGATGAAGGTAAGGAGACCAGTAAGATAATAGCCTTATCTTCCTCCTCGATCTTCACCCCGATAGACTCCAACTCCATTGTGAGCCTGTTGAACTCGTTCAAATGTTTTGTAAGGTTTGATCATTCTGTCATTTGAAGTGCATACAACTGCTTCTTCAAAGACAATCGATTTCTCAAGGACTTTGACTTGTACCTTATTTCCAACATGTCCATAGCTCTGCCGGATCTTCTTCATTGATGACTTCTCGGAGTGTGTTGTTCTCAAGATATAATTGGATCGTGTTGTTTGCTAGTTCTTTCAACTCCTCCCACTTGTCATCCTTTATGTTTGTCGGTTTGTTGGACCTCTTATTGAGAGCTTTTACCAGGCCCTCCCATGTTCGAATATTTTTCACCCTTTGCTGCCACAGGGTAAAATCATTATTTCCATTAAAAGGTTCTATCGTGAAACTTGAACCTTTCCCTGCCATTTTGATCTCAAAAACCGTCTAGAATTTGACTATTTTGACCTCGTGATTGGTCCCGGAACGGCGTGTTTGGCTAGGAACACACTTCCTTCCTCTTCAGGGGCCAAATTGAAAATAACCCCAAAAACCAGGAGCTAAATTGCAAATTCCCCAAACCCTTGGGGCCCAACTGTAATTTCACAAACTACAGAGGCCAAAATGAAAATTTCTAGAAATTTCGAGACCAAGTTGTAATTTCTAAAAACTTCGGGGACCAAATTGCAATTTCCAGAACTTCAAGGAATATTCCATTAATATGTGATTATGTCAGCCTTGCGTTAGCAATTGTCAAAAAGTAAATTTTCAGACGCTGATTGGAGGATTTGAACTCTTGACCAAGCCCTCACCACCATAAGCCTTAACCACCCAACCAAACTCACTCTTGTGATTTAATTTTCTCCAATGAATATTTAAATCACAAGTTTTGGCAGTAAATGATCGTCTTCAACCTCTGGCCGCGCGTGTGGGTCATGTCTTCGCGTAGGCCTAACTTGCTTTTTTCAAGCAATGCGTGAGAGCATGTCCAAGCTCCTCTCGGGTTCTTCTTTTTGGGTCTGAACTCCTCACGTCTAGAACTTGATCAAAACTTGATTTTGAGCAACTTGATTTTTGGCAGTTTTGAAAAAATAGAGTAACCAAGCCTTTGTTTTGCCTGCTTGCTCAACTTGAGTTTTGATATCAATTGTTGGGTTTTAAGGCCAATCCACCTGAACTACCAGAAATCAAATACACAATATGAACACAAGATTTATATGGTTCGGCCTCAATGCCTATGTCAACGGAGAGAATTGGAGATTCCACTAAAACAAATAGAGATTACAACAGAAGAGGAGACTCTCTCACTCAACTCACACACTCTCTGCTGCCTTACACTCTTTGGTTTTCCTCGCTCACTCTCACTCTCACAAAGATATACACTCACTTGTATATCACTTGTGTTCTTTTCTTTCTTGTTATTTGCCTCTTGCAAATTAACTCAATATATAGAGGGAGTTAGAGACAACAGCCCATACCTCCCCTCATGTGAAGGTACGACTTGCCACCTCCCTACGACAGCTTGTCTCCCTAGCTCCTCTCTCATCATTGTCAACAATCAGTGGCTTCTCTACATTCGTGCCAACCAATGTCAACAATGGTGTCTTACCTCTATCTACATGGGTGAACTCAACATGAGGCACTTGATGAACCACTGATTGCATTCTGATCAACTTTGCACCTTGGTTGGCATTTGTCAGTTTTCTTTTTGACAACTATGACTTGTGGTTATTAATGTTTGGGCTTGAATTTTCATTCACATCTGTAGCAAATCATGTAAAATTTCATTCTAGAAATGCTTATTTATGCAGCTATCCACTGCTGGCGGCAGGCTTATAATCTCAAGTGATGGTGTTTGGGATGCTTTATCTGCGGAGAAGGCATTTGATTGTTGTCGTGGGATGGCAGCAGATGCTGCAGCTTCACAAATTGTTAAAGTATGCTAACAACTTGAGTTTTATTTACTTTTTTACTTCTAAATCAAAGTCTTTTAATGGCATTTAATGATTTATTTCTTATTCGAATATGTAGTTATACCCATGTGCTCCTTTTGCAGGAAGCAGTACAGGTGAAAGGACTTCGAGATGATACAACTTGCATTGTGATTGATGTACAACCTCCAGAGAAGCCAACCCCCCCTTTGCCACCTCCAAAGAAGCAGGTTAAAAGAGTTCTTAAGTCAATGTTTCGCAAGAAGCCTTCTGAATCGTCTTCTCAAATTGATAAAGAATATTGTGAGCCAGATGTGGTGGAGGAAATATTTGAGGAAGGATCTGCTATGCTTTCAGAAAGGTTTGTAAAGAGAGTTATTGTTTGGTGACTTTGAAACTTGAAAACCCGTTATGAAGCTGGTCATCCTACTGTTGCTCTTCTTGGACCACCTTTAGGAAAATTTGACTTCTGTCACCTATGGACAAAATCAACCAAAGTCTAAAGTTTTTTCCACCAGTTCATGCAAGCCTTCACCTCAACCCTCCAATGCATCTGTTTCTCCACCTCTTCTTGAGTGTTTTATGTTTTCTCCTTTCTCACCCCGAAGGAATTAAAGAGTGCCATGGCCAGAACCATGCTAGGAGAAGGTTCATCCTAAAGAGAGAATACGGACTGAACATCCTCATTAGAAAAATTGTCTATTTGGGACAAGGTTTTCATCATTTTGTCTCATCTGTTTATGGCGACACTGGCATTTTGTCGCTTGTGTTTTCCTCTGAATGGTTGCGTTTTTACATACTGCCATTTCTGTTTGCGAGAGGAGAAATGTTTCTTGGAAAAGGTTTTAGGGCCATAATTTCTTTGATACGTGCTCTTGTGAAGACTGTTTAGCTGACAAATATGATGATGAACATTACTAGAAAGCGGAAAATGTGGCCAATGCATATCACACCCTTATTCTGGTTGCTCTCTTGTATTTTTATATAACACCATTTTTTTTTTTTTGGATTCTAATGTTTCCTCACTGCTGATATATATATATATATATAAAATTAAACGAAAAGATCATGTAGAGTTTGATGTTTTGACATACAATGTGCTTGTTTGATGCAGGTTGGATACAAAATACCCAATCTGCAACATGTTTAAGTTGTTCATGTGTGCAGTTTGTCTAGTGCCACCAATGCATCTGTTTCTCCACCTCTTCTTGAGTGTTTTATGTTTTCTCCTTTCTCACCCCGGAGGAATTAAAGAGTGCCATGGCCAGAACCATGCTAGGAGAAGGTTCATCCTAAAGAGAGAATACGGACTGAACATCCTCATTAGAAAAATTGTCTATTTGGGACAAGGTTTTCATCATTTTGTCTCATCTGTTTATGGGGACACTGGCATTTTGTCTCGTGTTTTCCTCTGAATGGTTGCATTTTTACATACTGTTTCTGTTTGCGAGAGGAGAAATGTTTCTTGGAAAAGGTTTTAGGGCCATAATTTCTTTGATACCTGCTCTTGTGAAGACTGTTTAGCTGACAAATATGATATTACTAGAAAACGGAAAATGTGGCCAATGCATATCACACCCTTATTCTGGTTGCTCTCTTGTATTTTTATATAACACCATTTTTTTTTTTTGGGATTCTAATGTTTCCTCACTGCTGATATATATATATATATATATAAAATTAAACGAAAAGATCATGTAGAGTTTGATGTTTTGACATACAATGTGCTTGTTTGATGCAGGTTGGATACAAAATACCCAATCTGCAACATGTTTAAGTTGTTCATGTGTGCAGTTTGTCTAGTGGAGATGAAACCTGGAGATGGCATTTCAATACATGCTGGTGGTTCAAATTCAGGAAAATTGCGGCCTTGGGATGGCCCTTTCCTTTGCTCAAATTGCCAAGAGAAGAAAGACGCTATGGAAGGGAAAAGACCTTCCGGAGGTTTGTCAGTTCATTCATGTATTCTGTAAAATGAAAGCATTATTTATTAGTAGTTATTTATTTTTTTTCTATGTTCTGTTATTTTCAGATGGTACGTATAGCAGTGGAAGTGAATAGTCAACCTTTAACAACTGTATCTGCTTCTTGCAAGCACTACCTAGTGTTCCTGAGCTAAGGCAGAACTTCCTTTCTGTATTAATCTCCTTGTGTCTCTTTCAAGGGGTTTGGGAGTTTCGATCCATTTTTGACATTCTTGTTGGGACCCCATCAGGATCTTTTTTGTATATTTCCATGCTTCCAGTCAGAAGATCAGAAGTTCGACATCTGTTTCCAACTTAAAGGAGATTCTCCTTGTCTGATGCCACCATTGTAAGCGACATAAAGATGTCGGTAAATTCAATGACCCCATTATTACACAAGAATCTTCTCCTTGTGAATATGTTCAAATTCTATAAAATCATACCCCTTCGTAGAGCTAACAGCAAGTGAAAGCAGTCTTCACTCTTCGGTATAATATAGGAAGTTGGATGATTAGTCTTAGGCTTCATGCATAGAAGAAAATTTTGTGATTTTTCATGCATTCAATTTGTTCATGTAACATTAATTTGTTTCTTCTTTCTAGATGAAAGGTGAAATTTCCAAAATAGAAAATTAGTAGTATTTTTCTTTCTTTGAAGTCTGAGGTTTCTGTATTCCCCACTATTGTAATTCAAAATTATTAAATGAAAAAACAGCAGTTTCGACTATTGGACCTATTTTCTAAGCAATCAATGGTAAAGACCGCGAAAGAGTTATGGTGCACTAGACATCCTTTTTGCATTCTTAGAAACTGCCTTTAGTGTGGACAACAACTGAGCAACTGCAACTCTATTCACTCAGGGCTGGTAGAATTTTTAGTTATTCAGGAGTCAGTTTGGTTTTGTCCTGTGCATTTACAAAACCTTTTGTCTTTTTAAGTTTTGAGTAACTTAAACCACTAGTCCTTATAGTTCAAGTGTCATTTTAATCCCTGTAGTTTTAATTTAAACAATTTGTTCTCTACACTTTTAATTTTATTGCAATGTGATTTTTGCATCACTTACCCGCTAGAATTTAGAACGGAAAAGGACCATGTGTAAAATTAGAATGACCAAAGTGAAATTTCAAAAAAATTACAAGGACCACTAGTGTAATAAATTCATTACACCGGTAGTCCCTTCCTATAGTTTATTTTGAATTCTACTTTAGTTTTTCTAATTTTGCATGTGATTTTTTTCAATTCAAAATGTAAACAACGCATGACGAAGGGATTATATTGTAACAAAATTAAAATTGTAAGAACTAAATTATTTAAATTGAAACTATTAGGACCAAAGTAAAATTTGGCTCAAACTACAAGGACCAAACGTATAATTTACCCTTAAGTTTTTGAATGTAGCTGAAACGGGTTTTTGATCCATCAACTTTTGAGGTGGCCCGAGATGATGCTGTATGGTCACACACAATCAATAAGATCTTTTCCTCCACGAAATTTGAGAATGAAGTTGATCTGTTTGATGAATTCGTCTAGATCCTCACTTACAAAACCAAGGTTAGCATTGACCCGAGAGGGCACTTTGATGGTAAAATCAATAATGATCTCAACAACCCTAAAGCATTGTAAACTCAGTACACAAAATCTCTCGTAGCCCTACACATGGGGCTTGATCTCTTTGTATAGAGTGCCCTGCCTATGCCTAAAAATTCCTTCATCATGGACTCTAGGACTTCTTCTTATTCAGGATTACGTCTCCTAGATCAATCGGAATAAACCTCTCTGAAGAATTTAATCCTTAATTGATCTAGGAGTCATAGTTCACTAGGACTCAGTTGCCTAGTCCAAATATCTCGGCTAAGGTGTGGACCATAACTACAATTCGGCCAATCACTTCCTGCCACGTAGCTTATTAGCCCGAGGCCATGTTATGTGGCCTAACTCAAAAAATATGTTCCTACTGCCTATTCTTAAATCTCTTTGTTCTCCTACCTTAAATATCACCACTTTGTTAGGGAAAATAGATTATTTTCCACACAAGTGTAAATAAATTAAAGGAAATAAAGATTTCAGCGTGAGATCTTGCAAACCCAGTGGGTGCAATTTGTCCACGGTTGATAAAGCTACAATTCCCATACGAAATGTTGGAATAAAGATATGCTGCAAAATGTGCTCTCCCCCATGGAGGTTGAAGAAATTTGTGTAACTCCCATTGTGATTGAAGAATGAGAAGATCGTTTGATTTGGCACCATGATCCGAAAGGAATTTATTCGGTCAAATTCGGGTACCGATCTGTATTTGAACACCAACACCATCATGCAGGAGATCAGCCGTCTTCTTCGTTTCAGGTTCCTGATTTTGTTTGGAAGTTTGTTTGGGCACTCCCACTCCCCCATAAACTTCGTCATTTCTGGTGGCGTGCATGCAACAATCTCTTGGCCTCTAAAGTCAATCTTGTCCGTCATCAATGTTCTAAAGATGAGGTCTGTCCCATTTGTCAACAAGCTTCTGAAACGGATGAGCATCTGTTATGTGGTTGTGAATGGACGCGGGCGGTATGGTTTGGGAGTAGTTTAAATATCAATCTCAGCTTTGGGACCACTGGATCGATCCAACGATGGACTTGCGAGATGTTTCAAGCTATTGTCAACAAGAGTGCTTGTGTGGATTATTTCTGTAGAGTGGTATGATTGGCTTGGCATATTTGGAAAAATAGGAGTGATTGTCTTTAATCATCACCCCATTGACCCCTGCTCTATTATTTTCCGAGCTGGCCAAGATTACAGTGAATCTGCAAATGGGTTGCCAATTAGTCCTCAGAGCTCTGGCCTTTCAAGCTCTCGTACAGAAGTGTCAAGGACGTGGATTCCTCCTCAGCATGGGACTCTCAAAGCCAATTGCGATGTAGTGTTACAGCCTGGCACTTCAAAAGCATCAATTGCAATGCTTATTCGAGACTAGGAATGGCAACGGGTCGGGATGGGGCCGGGGATGACACTCCCCGTCCCTGATCCCCGAAGGTTAAAAAATCCCCGTCCCCGGTCCCGATTCCCGACGGGGAAAGCATCTCCTCTGTGAAACCCCGTATTTTTATATAATAAAAATAATATGTATATTTTTAATTTTCTTAAATAATTATTCACAATATTTTGAATTTAATAGTCTGTATATTTTTACACACACACACACACACACACACACACACACACACAGATCTGTTCAACAAAAAAAAAATCTATATATGGACAACAATCTACAACAGATCTAGAACACACACACCCATACAACAATAGATCTAAAAAAAAATTAATATGTATATATATGGACAATAGATCTAGAACACACACAGATCTATATATAGATTATTATTTCCAGAACCAAATACGGGGAACAATGGCAAGGAAGACCACTATCACACACACACACACACACGCACACATATATATACACAGAGAGAGAGGAAAAGAGATGTTCAGATCAGTGGCTTGGCTTGACGGTTCATGGACCACGATCTGTTAGATCGGTGGCTTCACGGTTCAGATCAGTGGCTTCACGTCGGTGACTTCACGGTGGTGGATCTGGATAATGATGATGATGATAACGAGGAGTGAGAGAATGAGAGAGAAATCACCGTGGATCTGGACGATGATGATGATAACGAGAAATAAGAGAATGAGAGAGAAATCAAAGTGAGTGAGTGAGGGAGAGGGAAAGTAAGAGGGAGAGGGACACGGAGAGTAAGAGGGAGGGAGATGAGAGACGCTGTGGTGAGTGAGAGGGAAAAGGACACAGAGAATGAGAGGGAGGGAGATGAGAGACGTTGTGGTGAGTGTGAGTGTGAGTGTGAGAGGGTTTGGTTTATATATATATATATATAGGGGTAAAATGGTAAATTCATTTCGGGGACCAGCAGGGACGGGGACGGGCCGGGTACTGGGCTGGGACATATATCCCCGTCCCCGGCCCGAAACTGATCGGGGATTGAATTTTAAATACCATCCCCGTCCCGTTGAGGATATTTTTCGGGGAAAAACCGCTCAAATCGGGATCGGGGGGTCGGGTCCCCGTCGGGCCGGGTTCAAATTGCCATCTCTATTCGAGACTGTTATGGCTCTGTTGTGAATGGAGCTGTGCAAATGAAGGCAGTGGGGGTCAGTCATGCAAGGAGAAGCCATGGCGATTTGATGGGCATGTCTTTTAGCTCGTTCCCTTAATCTCTCTTAGGTGGAAATTGTTGGTGATAACAAACCAGTGATCTGCTTATGTGTATCGGAGGATAATCCGCCTTGGAGTTGTGCTACTATCATTGAGGACATTAGATGCTTGGCCAACCACTGTAATTTTTCCTTTTTGTGGACTTCTCGTGAGGCCGACAAAGTGGAGCTGTGCAAATGAAGGCAGTGGGGGTCAGTCATGCAAGGAGAAGCCATGGCGATTCGATGGGCATGTCTTTTAGCTCGTTCCCTTAATCTCTCTTAGGTGGAAATTGTTGGTGATAACAAACCAGTGATCTGCTTATGTGTATCGGAGGATAATCCACCTTGGAGTTGTGCTACTATCATTGAGGACATTAGATGCTTGGCCAACCACTGTAATTTTTCCTTTTTGTGGACTCCTCGTGAGGCCGACAAAGTTGCTCATTGGACAGCCAAAGCCTTTCTTAATGGGTCTCTACCTGCTAACTGTCTTTGTAATCCTCCTGAAAGACTGTGTAAAGCTTTAGCTTTGGTTTCGTAATCTAATGTCAGACATTCATTCACAAAAAAAAAAAAGAATCGAAGAAAATAAAAATAATGTGAAAAAATTAAATTAATAACGGCGTGAGAATTTTACATTGTTATCTCAATGTTATGCACGTCCATGGGACCATAGTCCAATTTCACTATCAACCAAGAGTTTACAAACAAGACACTAAGGTCATGTTTGATTCACAAGACTAAGAGTGAAGTATTAATAATCCTATTAAATTAGTGTAGTATTCATTATCTAATTAGATTAATATCCATTGGATTAATAATCCCACCCCTACCCCATTACTAATAAGAGAGCTTTTTTGATAAATCCACTTTCTAAGAGTTTTATTCCATCCAACCCATATTCTTTTTGACTATTCCATTAGGTCTTATTTGAGATAAGAAGACCAAAATACCATTTTCATCTACTTATGTTCACATTATTTTCTTATGTTTCAATAAGTCCTATGGGTGACATAATTATCAAAATACCCCTAATGTGAATGTTCACACTGTCAATGTGAATGTTCATATCGGCAATGTGTAGGGGCCCGGCCCATGTCGATCCTCGTGGGTGCCCGAAAAAATTCGAGTCGGGCCGGGGCGGGCCTGGCCCATTGACAATGTGAATATTCACATTGACATGTTAACATTTACATTAATAGAAGTGTAAAATTGGCCCGCGTCCCGTGGCGGTACGAAACTCGCTCGTG